AACTTTTTCCCCCCTATCCCGCACGCCCTGATGCGATTTTTCCGGTCCGAAAAGTGGATGCGGAATCCGCCAACTTTTTCCCCCCTATCCCGCACGCCCTGATGCGATTTTTCCGGTCCGAAAAGTGGATGCGGAATCCGCCAACTTTTTCCTCCCTACTCCGCACGCCCCGATGCGATTTTTCCGGTCCGAAAAGTGGATGCGGAATCCGCCAAAAAAATCAAGCCCAATCCGGAAGCCTTTTGGCGCTCGTCATCAGGATCTCTTGGGCCGATTTTTTTTCCAAGAAAATTGTTTCCAGGTCTGCTGCTCCTCTCTGGATTTTTCAGCAACTCAGCCGCGGCCAAGTTGCATTTTCACCAGCGCAACGAGCAATTCCAGACCCAAAAGTGGTTGCGAAGAGAAGCTACTCAAAAGGAAAGCGACAAAACGATGAAACGAAGTAATGCAAACGAAATGGCCTATTGCTGTGTTTACAAATCCAATTTTTTCTGCCCCGTATCAAAGCGCTTCGCTCTTTTGGTCCCTCTAAAAACGAAGTCGAAGTTTTTGTTTGATACACATCTCCACATGAACGGCTGCACGAGCTTAGGAAAAAAAAGCCGCCTCATGCTATATGTGAACACCAACTCCAACACCATTACTGGCGCACGCGGGCCAATGTTCGTTTTTCGGTTGCTTGTACCTGTCAATACTCTTGGTTCAACATGGCAATATCACTGTGGCTGTCTCGAAGGAACAATACACAGAAAATCGCATTTCTTGGTAGTGCTTCATTGCAAAGACACGACATTTTTGATTACCATTTCCATTTGTGATGCTAAGTACATACAATTACTTCGTTTCATTTTCGCGCGGAACAATTTTGCTTTCTTTATTCAAATGTAGCTTCTTGGGCTTGGGATGGGCGGACCAGGCGCACAAAATAAATTACATCGGTCCATCTGTATCAACTCAGCAGTCGTAGCCCTTTTTTCCAGCAAATTCCGGCCCCCTTGCCTCGGACCCCGAGGCGTGTTGACCCTCCGACCGCTTTCCCCGACGGTATGGGGCCGATTTTTTTACCAAAAATTTCGCCCCGCCCTTGGCGCCTGGGCTAGGCTTGTTGGCCCCCCGGCAGCTTTCCCCGAAGGTATAGGGCCGGTTTTTTACAGCAAACTGCGGCCCCCGCGCCTCGGGCCCCGGGGCTTGTTGGCTCTCCGACCGCTTTCCCCCACGGTATGGGGCCGATTTTTTAGAGCAAACCTCGACCCGCCCTTGGCCCCGGGGCCTTTTGGTCCCCCGGCAGCTTTCCGCGAAGGTATGGGGGTGATTTTTCACAGCAAATTCCGGCCCGCGCGCTTCGGGCCCCGAGGCTTGCTGGCTCACCGAGCGCTTTCCCCGACGGTATGGGGCCGATTTTGTAGAGCAAATCTCGACCCGCCCTTGGCCCCGGGGCTTGTTGGCCCCCCGGCAGCTTTCCCCGAAGGTATCGGGCCGATTTTTTACAGTAAATTCCGGCCAGCGCGCTTCGGGCCCCGCGGCTTGTTGGCTCACCGAGCGCTTTCCCCGACGGTATGGGGCTGATTTTTTAAAGCAAATCTCCACCCGCCCTAGGCCCCGGGGCTTGTTGGCCCCCCGGAAGCTTTCCCCGACGGTATAGGGCCGATTTTTTACAGCAAATTCCGGCCCGCGCGCTTCGGGCCCCGAGGCTTTGTGGCTTACCGAGCGCTTTCCCCGACGGTATGGGGCCGATTTTTTAGAGCAAATCTCGACCCGCCCTTGGCCCCGAGGCTTGTTGGCCCCCCGGCAGCTTTCTCCGAAGGTATAGGGCCGATTTTTTACAGCAAATTCCGGCCCGCGCGCTTCGGGCCCCGAGGCTTGTTGGCTCACCATGCGCTTTCCCCGACGGTGTGGGGCCGATTTTTTAGAGCAAACCTCGACCCGCCCTTGGCCCCGGGGCTTGTTGGTCCCCCGGCAGCTTTCCCCGAAGGTATAGGGCCGATTTTTTACAGCAAATTCCGGCCCGCGCGCTTCGGGCCCCGAGGCTTGTTGGCTCGCCGAGCGCTTTCCCCGACGGTATGGGGCTGATTTTTTAGAGCAAATCTCGACCCGCTCTTGGCCCCGGGGCTTGTTGGCCCCCCGGCAGCTTTCCCTGAAGGTATAGGGCCGATTTTTTACAGCAAATTCCGGCCCGCGCGCTTCGGGCCCCGAGGCTTGTTGGCTCCCCGAACGCTTTCCCCGAAGGTATGGGGCCGATTTTTTAGAGTAAATTTCGACCCGCCCTTGGCGCCGGGGCTTGTTGGCCCTCCGGCAGGTCCTCGTTGATTGTCCACCTGGGACTATGTTGTACCTACTTTTGAGTAAACTGAATACAAATATATAAAACAGACGTGTTCCTCTTTTTCAGTTCAAGTTTCCTTAAGCTTGTCTACGAACGTGCACGTGGTGATCTGCTGTGATGAATTGGGTTTTTGGACTAGTATAGAGAAGGCTCTTCCACGACCTACGCTGAAAAACTTCTCTTCGCCTCCTGTTCTCAACTTTCCCAGGCTAGGCACGGTTGCTCTCCTGCGCAAACTGGAGCAATTCGCCTCTCCCACCAAACCGACGTCGTTATCGTCTGGAAAAAAAGCTAGCGCATCGTGTTGGCTGTGCGGCCCAGGTGTTAGTGTTTTCTTGGATGTTCTTACAACCTGAAAATGACAAACAAAAAAGATGCTGACATCTGGAATAAAAAATGTTCTCATGATACTACATAGATACTTACGGTTAATACGCATGCAAGACATATAAACGGGTGAAGAGATCATGACCAGCATCGTTCTGCAGCACCTGCTCACTCACATCTAACACATCATTCCGTGACATTCTAGCTGGTATTCCAGCTTGGATATTTTCACTTCCATTTCGTGCTGCAACGTGACTTCCTCCTCCACGGTATTCTTCGCGAAAAACCGCCACACGAAGATCTGCTTCGATTCCTGGCCCACTCGCCGGACCCGGCCGATCGCCTGCATTTCCGCGGAGATCCCCTCTTGAAAGTCCGCCGTGTTCATGGGATGCAGAAACAGCACGTGGTGGGCCACTTGCAGGTTCAGCCCCGTCGCCTGCTGATCCAGGGACAGGATGAGAATGCGCAGCGGGTTCTTCTTGTCCAGAAAATGGTCGATGATCGAACTCTTGCTCCGCTTCTGCTCTTCGGCAGTCAGCTGCTCCTGGTCGTTTTTCATCTGGGTGTATTTTTTCGACGTCCCTGCTGCTCCTCGTCCCGTGGCGCAGCTTGCGGAAGACGCAGATGCCGCTGCGCCACTAAGAACCTCCGCAGCCCCTCGACTCGCACTAGCTCCTTTGCCGGCTCGTTCATGATGATCATCCACAGGGCCCACACGGCCGGCGGTGAGGCTCGCGGCGTGGAACCCGCAGTCTTTGAAGCACTTCAGAATCTTGCTTTGCAGCTCGGGCCACTGGACGAAGAGAATACACTTGTCCTGTAACGGAATGTCGTCTTGAAGCGTCTGCGCGACCTGATAGAGTAGTAGAAAGAAATAACATGATTGTTCGGTGCTGGCTGTGGTGGATTTGTTTCTTTCTCGTCGATTTGATGCCTATGAACTAATGCTATAATGCCATTTTCATTCAAGCAATATTTCGTAGGTACGGCACGTAATGCACGGATGATGATGATCCATTGATGAAAAAACATGTATCCTGATGGCATTGTTTTTCACGCTGTACAAAGGAAGATGTGAAGATTACCTTGCAGAGTTTGCTGCCGTGCAAAGCTCGAATCTTGTGCCAATCGATTGCTGTACCTAAAAGTAGAAAAAGATGTTTTCTATAGCTTAGAAAGAGGAGATACTGATACTTACGTTTGGCATTTCCATTTGCGCTGCGAAAGGTTTTGTCTATCGATCAAAACGTGCTTGAAAGTCAAATTCGTATTCATCTTTTGTGGACCGAACCTTCATCCCTAGCGCTAGCAATCTCAATCTGTAGTTTGTCGTAAAGCCACATTTGACATGCACCCACGTAAAGGGAAATCTTTGAGCGATATAAATAGCACCGCTCCGAATTTGCTGGTTTTGCTGCTCCCTCCTGAGGTCTTCCTGCTGCAACGCCGACATTTCTTTCGCCAGGGAGAAGTAGGCGTCTTTGTTGTCCGGAGGCAGGCTCTCCCGACAAGTGGGACAATCCCGTTTGTTCGTTTGCAGGTGCATCTCCAGACAGAACCGGCAAAAGATGTGCCCGCAGGCGAGAATGACGCAATCCGATACTCCCATGCCCGTGCCGTCGTGGTCGTACGGCTTGTCAACGATCTCTTCGTGGCAAATCGTGCAGATAACCTGCTCCTCCTGGTCTTGACCTCCATTAACCCCGGAGGCGGCTGCAGTGGAAGATGAACCTGCTGCGCCCCCAGCAGCGGCTTTAGCACGACGAGTCGGACGCTGTTTCGGCAGGGTCAACCAGGTTGCACTCTTCTCGTTGTAATTCGCAGGGTCAAACAGGTGCTTGAGTTGTGGTCCAGGAACTAGTTTTGGTTCGAGTTGTGCTACGACGGAAGAAGCTGTTACCGGGCGTTTGCTTTCCTGCTTCTGGTTCTTCTCCTCCTCCTCTTCCACCTCGTCCAAACTGGAGTCCAGAGCTGCGCCGGCAGCACCATTTCCTCCCGGAGATCCTGTCGTTGGTTCCTCTTCTCTGCCCCCGCTGGTGCTCGTCTTCAGAAACGCGCGGAGCGCCTGAGAGAAAAACTGCAGTGACTTGGTGGCGTCCCGCAACACTTGCAGCTTCGGCACAAACACTTCCTCGATGAACCGATACAAAGTTATCAGCACCGATTGAAAATCAGTTCCACAAGCATCGAGGAGCTCGTCGGTGTCTCGGAGCGTATGACAGTGTACAACTCGTGCTCGTGGTCGTGGTCCCCTTGCTCTTCATCTCTCAATTTTTGCCATGCTAAATTCAGGATGAACGTAGTTGCTGCCTTGTGACACTGTTTGCATGACTACAAATTCAGGAACGACACCATATTACGGTACTACATTCCGGCCGCGGGGGCCCATGAACTTGTCATGCACAGGCTACACGTGTGATGGTGTGTAAGTAGTTCGTCTTTGTATTCATGGCACACAAAAAATGAGGGGCCGGGAACGAGAACATCATCAAGTTGTGCACTGTCATAGAACGGACTGTTTTTCGATAAGGCGATTTTGGGGAGAAAGTGCGTCATGACGTCGAGCAGCATTGGCTTGCCGGAGTCCAGTTGGGCGTCAATCAACTCGGTCGTGTCAACTTCATCTACAGAGCCCCTGCCGCCCTGCTGGTGTACTAGTCCACCGTCTACGCTTGTAGTTGCGTTGTCGTCGCGTAGGAGAAGTTTTCGAAAATGCAGGTAAGCACTGTAGCTGTCGCTGACATTCTGAAAAACATCTAGTTTTGGGTCCAGACGTCCAATGCTCCGGCCGTACAGTATGGCGTTCTCAAATCGGTTACCTTCTGAACTGTTGCATGAACTTGTAATGCAAGAATGGCAAAAGTGTATAGGGGGTGGGGGAAGATTGATGCGCCTTTTGCATTACAGATTGTTTGGCGGTAGAATCTAAATGCTATTTAGCGAATCGCGAACCTGTAAAAATGCGAGGCAGCGTGATAAATGTAGAGACGCATGGCAAATTTGCATGACAAATCCCTGTAACAGTAGAGAATGGAACGATTGAGAACCCCCTCATATAGAGCCGCATGAGCCGCCGGAACTCTTCCCGCGAAAACCGGTGCTCTATCAAATGTAAAAATGTCTGGGTCTGGAAGAATGCGCGATTTGTCATGCAGCTTTTCGATGACCCACGAGGTCTGGAATGCAGGACCTAGCATGACAGATTCTGTGCGATCTCTCTCATGCCTATCCCGCATGAGAAACTCCCTCCCGACATGGTCAAAACTGGACGACTTTTGGTAATCATGCAACACAGATTTTTGCATGCTTCAGATTTAGCATGACAAATTGCATTCTTCCAGACCCAGACACTTTTACATTTGATATGCTCGTGGCGGTCGCAAAAGCCCGCGAGGTGCCGTCGCGTCCGCTTTCCGGGGCCCGGGTCGCGCGCCGAAACCAGTGCCATGGCCTCCCTCGCTTTCCATCTCGTTTCAATGTTGTCGCGCCCACTGCCCATGTCCTGCTCTATTTGAAAATCATTGATTTCGCAAAACATTTCGAACTCCCTGGCGTCTAGGAAAATATCCGCGTACAGCCCCGGCGCGGTAGTACGACCGGATTTATTATTCTTCTGCCGACGGAATTGTAGCCGGGACGATTCTTGCGTGTCCAGCCCAAACAGATTTGCGGCGAACTTGGAAACCAAACTTTCCAGGCGTGCGTTGGAGAGCTGGCCATGAGCCATTCCGTGCACGATCCGGTGAATGCGGCAGGCGACAACCTGCATCAGGTCTTCCGGTTCATCTGGGAGGCCCTCTCCTCGGTGGTACGGTCTATGGATTGCAAATATGTCTGGGTCTGGAAGAATACAGCCTTACGATCATGCGCATTTCAAAACACAGAAAAATCTCTCATGCATAGGTAGCAAAAGCTACCCACTTATTTCTGTCACCAAAATGGGGGATTTGTCACGCGGATTCGGCATTGCGGAAGCTTCTCGATGAAACCTGTGACGCTAGATCTTCCATGCCAGACCTTCTGTGTCATGCAAAAACAGCATGACTCTTTCAGGCCCGGGCATTTTTGCATTTGATAGGCAGAGAGACCCGCCTGGGCAACACGAGCGTCATCGTCCGGGTCGTCCAGCCCAAAATCCTTGAGGACTCGTCCGCCCCAGAGGCAGGCAGAGTCGCCAAAGACATCCTTCACGTGGTGCAACAGCATCACTGCGCGACTGGAAGGACCCAGAACCAGCTTCGAACTTGGAGTTTCCCGCCTCCAATTCAAACGGAACAGCATGCCGTCGAAAAGCGTCATTTTTCCGTCCTTCTCGTTCTGCTCGGCCGCGTCCTCATACCACTCATGCCCTAACACTCTATCCTTGTACTCCTTTCGCCGCGCCTCCAAATCTCGAACAAGACTCGCATCCACTGCAAATAAAGTATCGCCAGCTCGGATGAATTGCAGTTGTCATGCAGCATGACAAATGTTGATGTTCTACCTTAAGCAAATCAGGATTACAATTTCTTCTTGTCTTTGAGGACAAAAATTTGTAATGCAATTTATACTAGTACGATACTTATGGTTTTGATGCAGTGCATAACTCGCGCATGCTGCATTTTTGTTGTCGCGGCCGCGGAGTGGATCATCTTCACCGGGAGGCTGTCCGCGCTGCCGGACCACGACTTCCTCGGCTTTCGCTTTCGTAACTCCGAAAACGGCCACTTCACTCTCGGTGCGTATGTCTTCCTCGAACATGAGGTTCATCCGGCTCATATCCTGTGCAAAAGCATCGTACTCGTATAAATGCATGTTTTGCATATGCATTCCAAGTATTTTTCTTGAGGGAAATCAGGATGACAAATTTTATTTCTCATGCTGAGGAAATTTGTAATGCCTTTATAGAGACGAGTACGATACTTTTGCAATGCATAGCTCAACGTCCGCGGATTGTTGCCCTGGTAGGCCCGCATCAGGTCAGCGTACCGCATAAAGAACTCGAACAGCAGCAGTTGCTCCTCCACCTCTTTCTGGTGCCGGAGCACCTCTCGTTTTTTCTCCGGGTATATCCTGTGCAAAAGTATCGCACTCGTGTTGCATTCATGCATTATAAGTCTTAGTGGTCGTCGATGGTATCAGACTAAAGGATTTACGGAATCAGACTTATTCATGGAATCAGGCTAATGGAATCAGCTTTACCAGTGGAATCAGACTAGTGGAATCAAACTAGTGCTGCGCTATCCAGTCCGTGCGCTGCTTGCGCCCGCGCGCGGTCGGCTGCTGGGAAAACGCAGAGGGAGCCACGAAAAAACGGCCAACATGCGTGCACATGCCAAACACCGACCCGACAAGCCCCACGCCCGCCATTTGCTGGGGCGTGTCTTCGCTCCCCCCCCCCCACGCACCTCGACACCTTTCACACTCCCCTGCGCGAGTATGAGAAAGGGGAGGGTGAGCGCCTCCCATAATCGTGCTCAGAGATCAGAAAAGTTCACTCGGTTCAGTTGCACGCGGGCAGGGGTTCGAACGTTGATCGATCGCAAAACAAAAGACCAAGCTCGAAGTGCTCGACTTCTATCTATCCCTGTCGACCTGGGCAGTGCCGGGGCGCCACCGCCCGTGCCGGGAGGCGCTGCTCACAGTCACAGGCGGACAAGGACCGGGAAGACAGCCTCGCCGCCGGCACGCCCCGCCTCTATGCTCGGCGGTGCCACGTCGCTAGCCTATGGGAGCCGCCCTGCTGCGACATACAGATGGCTGCGCCCTTGGGAAGGTGGCTACCCCTAGGTCGGGGGGCGGCGCCTGGGGGAGCAGGGCAGTCCCAGCCGACACATCTGCGCCACTGCGGCCCCGACCACTTGCAATGCGAGTGGAGTCGCCCCACCCAAAAATCGAAGCACCGACGGCCCCGGCCTGTGCGACGATGTACCAACCTGAGCAACTTTCTAGGCGGCCCACCGAGCGAACAACGGGCGGGGGGGCCGCCTGGTCCGTCAATCGGTGCGCAAGGCCTGGAGCGCAGCTCCAACGCAGCCGGGGCGGGGCGCGGGAGGACAGACCAGGACAGGCAGGGCGGGATGGAGAGCATCGAACGCGGCGGCCGCGGCACATATATAGCGCCGCGCTTCTGCGCGCCATTACAGAGCAAGGGGCTCACAGATGCGCCTGAACGAATGGCCAGCAGAGCTTGCTGCGAGCACGCGCGGCACAGTCTGCGCTGCTGTGAGGCAGCGCCTATCATCCCCCTCGGCCTGTCTCGGCCGGGTTTCGCTAAGTAAAAACACGAAAAACGAGGCCGATATTTAAAAATTTGCGAGAGTTCCCCCGTTATTTTTCAACAAATATCGCAAAGAAGAGCTGTTTTTCGGCTAAGTCCGGAAATTCTGCTCCCACAAAGCATCGCACTTTTGCGCGCTTTTTTGATGCAATCTAGAAGCAAAGCAGCGAAGTAGGGGCACAGAGAAACAATAGACAGAACGCAGTGGATGGACGTAGTTCTTCTAGTTTCTCTTTTCTATAGTTGGCGCTTATTTTTCTACCCTTTACGGTTTTTTTGGCTACTTCAGATTTCACCTTGTCAACCGGGATCGCCAATAGCAAACTCCTGGCGCGTGTCTGTTTTAAAGTGGTCGTGCATGAAGTGCGCCGAGGAGCGAACGGAAACAGCTAAGCAGACATACATACCCAACATGCAAACTAAGTCCCCAAGTAGAATCGCAACGCACAGCATTCAAGAACTTCGGGCGAAGTTGCGAGGAGACCAAAGCGACCCGGTGGAGCTGCAAAACATGATGGACCAAAGGAGAGAGCGTTTCGAATGCATACGATAGAGATGCGCGGCCAGCACATTCGTCGACGTACTCAGAGTCCGCTTCTCCTGATTCTATCCATAAGCTTGATTCTAGTATCTTGATTCTACTCATTATGCTGATTCTACTATACTGATTCCACTTGTAGTCTGATTCCATTAGTCTGATTCCGTTTACTAAGTCTGATTCCCTCTCTTACCTTTTTTTAAGGTAAATTCGCATTACAGATTTTATTCTCATGCTGAGGAAATTTGTAATGCATTTATAAGAGTACCATACTTTTGCAATGCATAGGGTACCGGTCTTTGCAATCCTGCATCGTGGAAGTGAAGGAGCACAATTTCAGCAGCCTCGTCCGGGTCTTCAACGTGTTCGCCGTCAAAACGGGCTGCTCGGAGGTGTCGTCCAATGTTCTGCCGCGTTCTTGCGAAAGATTTGTCGACGTCGCGCTGTACAGGGCCGCAGCACGACTTCTAGCGCTGGTCGTCGTCGTGCTGCTGTTTCTACTTGATGTCAGACTAAAAGCTGCGGCCACAGTTGGGTCGTCCACCACCATCTCTCCGGCCTCCAGCCTGGCGTTTTGCTCCCGAAGCAGGTCTATCAACTGTAAAAATGTCTGGGTCTGGAAGGATGCAAGGTTTGTCATGCACATTTTGCATGACTGCTGATGTCTGCGATGCATGCCCTAGCATCACAGGTCTTGTGAGGGCTTTCTGATGCCTATACCGCATGAGAAATGCCCTCTCGCCGTGGCCAAAACCAGACCTCTTCTGCTGTTCATGCAATACAAAATTTTGGATAATGCAGACGCAGCATCACAAGTTGCAATCTTCCAGACCCAGACATTTTTACATTTGATAAGGTCCAGATTCTTGCCCTTGTAGTTCAACTCCCGAAACAGGTCCAGGTACAAAGTGTGCTCCGCGGCGGTCAGTTCCACCGGAATTTTGCGGTCGATAACTTCAATGCTGTCGACGTAGGTGTTCATCCGCGTCTGCCGGCAAAACGTATCCAAGTAGCGCAGGCCGTTTTGCCCGCCCCGCTGGAAGTACTCCCACCGCTTCGTGCAGGCAGTCTTGTCCAGAAGAAGGTCCAATTTTTGCAACAAGCAACTGGTCTTGTCGATACCGTCCAGCGTCACACAGGGCGGGGTCGCGGAAAGCCCAAAGGCAGCCAGACCTTTCAAGTGCTGCAGCCGCGTCAGGCTGTTCACGTTCTGGACCTTATTGTCCCTCACAAGTTTAGCACTGGCGGCCGCCTGCTGTTTCGACGTGGCTCCACCTGGAAGTTGATGTAGTGGTGCCCCTGCCCCGCCGGTGGAACTACTTCTAGAGGTGGCGACTTCCCGGATACCGGGCCGCCGGTTGTTGGTTTTCGCAGGCCTGTGCTCGTCTGTTCGACGCAGCTTCGCTTCGAGTTCCGCGATGGATTCGCCGTCCCGGTCGCAATATTGGTGGAACTCGTCAAAAATGATCCGCCGAAAATAAAACATTTCCAGTACCGGAAAATGGAAGTCCTCTGCAAGGTCCTCCACGACCTCCTCGGGCGGTCCGCTCGCTGGTAAAAATGCACTGTCGAAGGTTATTCCTGCTGCCACTCCCTGCAGTTCACGACCCGCAGCGTTGTTCGTGCGCTTACTAGCGCGACCTGCTGGTAGTTTGGTATTCACCGTGGTACTAGTGGTCGCCGTCTCCCTTGCTCTCGTGGGTTCCGGCATCCGCCGTTTCCCGTCGGCAACGCGGCGCTGGAGCTCGGTGAAGACTTCGGAATACTGCATTGGAACTGGTTTCGCGAACAGCTCGCACAGTTGCTCCTCGGACGCGTAGGTGTCGGGGCCGCACAGGCTGCGAATGCGCTCCTGGTACTTCTGTTTCTGCAGCACGTCGCTCAAGGAAACGAGAATCACGTCGTATTTCTCCGCAATGTCGGATTTCTTCAGCAGCTTCAGCTGGTCCCACTTCATCAAGCGGAGCACGCTGACGGCGTCCGGCTGCGTGAACTTCTTGATCATTTCGTCCCACTGTCGGGCCAGCTGCTTCTCCGGCGCGAGGACCAAGGTGGCCCGGCTGGGGAAGTAGAACCGTCGGTCGTGCGCGGGGATGTTTGCGTCGATCTTCCGCAGAACCTGGTGGAGCTTCTCGTCGCACACCTGGTACTTCGTCCGACCGGGCTTGTTCAAGGGGCCCCCGCCAGTGCCGATGGCAACGGGGGGCTTGGAACTAGAACTTGCGGCTGACGTCGGACCTCCTCCTCCACCAAGCTGACGTTCCAGCTGCGAGGCCGGAGGTTGAAGTTTCGTCTTTGCAGCTGCAGAAGCTGAAGCTGTACCACGACTAGAATTCGGTCCTCGTGCAGGACCTCCACCAGTGCTGCTTTTCTTGTTTGCGGTTCTTTGCGTAGTAGGTTCTTGATGTTCCAGAACCACGGAATCCGAAGTTGTGCTGCGCGAAGATGAGGACGAATCATCACTGTGGTCCCCCTCCGCAGACGAAGAGGACAAGCTCCCTGACCGATCCCGGTTTTTGTTCTGTGGCTGCGCTTCCCGCCGCGCACGGCCCCCCGAGGATGGAAGGCCCATGGCAATCCGGTTCGCTTCATGCCCCGAGTGTTGCAGCAGGTCGGAATCCGAACTATCCGCCCCCTCTGCCATTGAATACGGAACGTCGTTAGTATTTGCACCAAACAACAAAGACCCGAAAGGAGCCGCTTGGCTCGTCGTCCCTGGTCGGAGTTCTCGTCGCGAAGAAGATGCAGCAGCCGATGGAGCTTCCCTCTCCGGGTCCGACTCGTCAGAGAGCGGCGTAATCACTTTTTTCTTTCTCACTTTTTTGCCCCTTTTCGACATCGCTGCGTCCTCGTCTCCACTGCTTTTGTTTTCCTTCAGTTCATCGCCTGCTGCATTAGTAGCTCTTTGTCGTTTGTTCGATCGCAATAGAGCCTGCTTCGCCAGCGCTTTTGCCGCCCCTTTTTTCGCTGTCCCCTTCGCTTTCGGTTTGGCCGGCAGCTTGTCACTGTAGATGTCCTGCAGGTCATGGCACAGAAATCCGATGGTGGTAACAGTTTTCCCGGTTCCCATGCTATCCGCCAGCACGCCACCGCGAGCTCGGTAGCGAATGTCCAAGCTGAGCTCGAGATTCCAGGCCGCTTCCGGAGCAGCGTCGGCAGCTCCAAGGCCCCCAACTTTCCTGTGATTTTTACCTACCTGCGCTTTGTCCTTGATAAAATCATTTCCGGCAGAATAGAGCGACCACTGAACGCTAAACGTTTTTTGTGGACGACGAGACGGGGGCGCGAGAAGATCAAGATCAAGAGCCCCCGCAGCCTCGGCGGGTTGTTCTTGTGCCTCTGGGTACGCGTCCCGGTCATCTCTCAGATCATGGTCCATTTTTTGCATCCAGGTCACGGTGCGAGCCTGCTCCGCCCGCAGCGACTCCGTAGCGCTCCAAAGCTGCGGCGTGTCGTATCAAAGAAAAAGATCCCCCCTCCCCATATCGAAACGAAATTTCTGATGCTGGATCTGCGTAAGTACACAAATCAGGTCTGTCCTGCCGGAGAGGACTGCAGGCATATGCCAAGCCTGAGGCGAGAGGTTTGAACGTAAGCGACTAGCGTGAAGACAAATGTCGGCTCTGTAAGCCCAACAGCATCACAAACCGCCTGCATAATGCGGCGGACTCTCTGGCCTTGCCTTCTTGCAAGACAGTCAGGATTTGTGGTCACAAATCTGCATCACAAATTCTCAGAAGGATGTTTTTTCAATATGGGGAGGGGGGATTTTTCGTCAGAATATGTCGCACTCGCGTTCGGCATCCGGGTTCGGGATCAGCAGGTCCGTGCACTCCCAGGGATGCGGCGTCAACTTCCGCAATCCCGCCTGGGTCAGCACAGTCGGAAAAACTTTGGCGTGCGAGTACAGCATCTGCCGCACAGCTCTGTCCGATACCGTGTGATTTCTGTCAACCATCCCTTGGAAGTTTTGCGCGTAAAAGCCCCGCATGTCGGTGCGGTGTACCCCCAGCTCGAGCAGGAGGCGATCAACCTCGCTGCGCTGGATGCCGTCAATGTGGTCGTATACTGTTCCTGCAAACCTCTGTTCCGGCGCCGAGGAAAAGGGGTTCAGCCACGCTTCCATGCTCTCGGGTGGGTACCGCAACCTGTCCGCGACTTGCTCCACAGCTTTCCCGGGATTGCAACACAAAGTCATTGGCACTTCGTACAGAGCGGTGTCTACGGCTTGGTCCGCACCACGAGGACCTCCTCCAGGAGCTGCCTTCTGCATCAAAGCAGGATTGATGCGGCCGCTGGCTTTGCTATCCGCGAGCTCACGACCCGCCCCAGCATCTCGTCGATGTAGTCCTCCTGATGAACCAGGGGCAGCTAGAAGTTGCGCTTCCACAGCCCTACTCGTAGCTGCATGGGAGCTGCTAGAGCTACTGCTCCTTGCGAAAAATGCGGTAGCAGGTCCTCCTCCTCGTGAAGACGAGCCGGCAGGTCCTGTCCGCGAAATTCTCTCTGGTCGCGCAAACTGGCTGCTCGCATTTTCCTCGGGAACGCCTGACTCAAACAGTTGCTGCAGACTCGCCTCGGGCCGGGCGAATTGCCCGCTGGCGTCCTCTAGTTTTCCATGATCTGGTGCCCCGAGGAGCCCAGAACTACTGTTGGGCGAAGATGCTGCTGCGAACAGACCGATTCTCTCCAGGAACGCAGCCTCCGTCTCACCCGTTCGGGTACTAGAGCGAATTGCTTTTGCTTTTGCAGCTTGGCGTGGCTTTCCCGGACGCACGGCAGCAATGCCACCGGATGCGGTTGCTGATCCGGGCCCGTGTTCTTGCACGGGAGGTCGAATAAAACTCGAGGACTGGCTCTTGGAAGGAGGCGCAAGAATTGTTCCGGCGTGTTGGGAGGAGGGTCCTCTCGTTGCAGCGCCAGGAGAGGGTTGTGCTGTACCAAGACGCACTCTTTTCATCGTGCCGTCCGGTGTGGTCTCGACCTGCTGCTGCGTAATGTCCTGATGCATGACTCGTGCTTGTTGTGGTCTTACCTGCCTATTTTGTTTGATTTGCTTCGCCGGATGCAACATCAACACAGTTCCGAAGCTGATGTCGTAACTGTGCCCCTGCTCGCGTTCGTTATTTCTGGGTGTGGTCTATCCTGTGCAAAAGTATCGTACTAGTAAAAATAGCATTACAAATTTTTCCAGAAGGAAAAATGGAATTTGTAATGCTGAATAAGCTGAGGAACCAGACTTGTCATGCATGACTGCAATTACTACGAGTACGATACTTTTGCAATTCATATGGTCGTAGGAGCTACGATTGACGCACCGTCAGGGTCCTCGTCCCCGAACATGTCTGCGCTGGCAGCAGGGTCGCTGCGGCCCAAAGCCCGCTTCCGCGCAGCGTCGATGTTTTGATCGAAAATTTGGTCAAAGTCGTACGGGAGCAAAGATCGCGAAAAAGAGTCTGCGAGGACCAAATTCTTTGTAGCGTTGTTGTAGTTTGTTCTGGTAATATTTTTATTTCCTTCGTGCACAGTGACAGTCGTAGTGCCTAGAACTTGTTCTGACCCGCCAACATTTGCAGCTTGTTCGACCCGTTGCCGCTCGACCCCTTCGTCCGTTTCGTCGAGCACGCGCGGGTGCACCATGCCGAGAACCCGGCCCTCTTTGTAGGACCTCAAGGTGAGGTCTTTCGCTTGTTGTGCCATTTCAGGCAGCGGGATGGAAAAAGGCTCCTCCGGGGCGCGAAAAAGAACGTGGCGTGGGGACGAGGAGGAGGACGACGATGAAACACCTTCCAGGCTCGCAGCTCGCATCGCTGCCACACTGTTTCTCCAGGTCGGAAGCTGCGCCATTTTGTCACGGGATTGCTCCAGCCAACTCTTGAATTCGAAGCTGGACGTTGCAGCCGATGGGCGTTGTAATGAGTCACTATTTGGTGTTGTAGTACTCGGAGTTGAGGCTGTCGGTGCGCTGTTCACGATCAGGCGTAAAAGGTGGTTGCCAAACGCGGCGAAATTCTGGAAAAATCTGAGGCCCACTTCGATGAAAAAGTCCACTTCCAGACCGTTGTGCTTGCCCTCCTGGTAGTTGTTGTTGCTCCTCTTCCGGGACGATGATGTTAAACTTGAAGAAGATGTAGCAGCAGCAACAGTGCCAGGCTTGTTGGATTTCAGCACGCCTTGCAAGAATTCAGCGGCTTGCGGTGACGGCGATGCGAACAGCAGTTGCACGAGCTTGTGCGTTAGTCCAGCAGCGACCGTGCCCTCCAAAACAAAATATCCGGGAAGGACTGCATCTTTCACGCGCGCTGCGAGAGAAGCTTTTCCTCGCGCCGTTTTAATTTCCTTATCTTTGTTCACAGCTGCAAGAACGTCCTGTGAAGGTCCTCGATCATTAGCAGTAGAACTACTACCCGGCGCACCGCCCGCTTGCTCAGGGTCGTGGCTGCGTCTGTCGGTCCTTCCCCCCGCGGCGGGGCCCTCGAAAGTAGCAGGCATGCCGGCCGCTGTCGGACCTGCTCGCCGCGACATGGGGGTCATGGTGGAAGCGGCGCCAGGGGACAACAAATCCTGCGGGGTGCCGCCACGAACAGACCGCCTATTCATAAGAGACGGCTTCTCGTCTGGAAGATCATCAAGGAGCTGGCGTTTGGCAGAAAAGTCGTTCTCCCTGTTTTTGTTTCGTGCCTCCAGCATCTTCCCACGCTCTTCCCGGAGGACTTGCAGCGTGGTCCTATCAGGCACGGTTTTGTTAGAACTGGGAGCTACTTTCAATCTGTCGTCCGGGTTGTTGGTTATTGCTCGAAGCTGGTAGTAGCCGGCGCGAAGCGGATGCGTCCGCGCTTCATAGATCGGAAGTTTCGGAAGGTGTTCTCTATCAAATGCAAATATCCCTGGATGTCTGGAAACTTGTGATGCTAAAATGTGGATGATGGAAACAGTTACGAATGCAACCTAGCATGACAACTTTCCAGAGCGCTTTCTCAAGGGAAATCCGCAGGAGAAACTGCGTGTTTGCTTGCACAAAAGAGGCTGCGACTTTTGTTGGTTATGCAATACAAATTTCCGAGGTACTGTGGAAAGCTAGCATCACAAGCTCCAACCTTCTAGAGCCAGACCTATTTGCAGCGGATATTCTTTGATTTTTTGCGAAACAAAAACGAGGTCTTCGCCCCGCACCGCAGCAAGAGGATTCGGGCTTTCTTGCGCCCGCTTCACGCACACATGCAGAACTCCTGGATTAGTCCGTCCTCCACCGGTTAGTGCGTTGCGCGCATCCGCCGCGTCCTCAAAGACACTTACTAAAACATCTCCCAGAGAGGCCCGGCTGTTCCGGTCTGCGGGTGCGGCCTTGGAATACTGCTCGGCTATATACTCGAACGTGCTACAGTCAGCATTGGCATCAACGTCTTTAGCGTCAAAAAAATCTTCAAGGACGTTCGCGATGCCACTTCCCGTCTTTTGGCCCCAAAGCTGGACCAGAATGTCCTTGGGAGAACGAGGGTTGTTGCTGTTCTTGGGGAAATCTTCAGCCATGTTGATGCGCCGGGGCTTCTTCTAAACAAGAATTAGCATGAGTTTTACTTTTGACAGGTCGTGAGAAAAAAAAGATAAAGTTACGACAAGATGACCAGAATTTTTGCACATATCAAAATCAAGTGGGCAGGATAAAATATGAGTCAGTGAGCAACGATAGATTTTCCAACAGATGGGGTAGTAAAGCTAGTAGCTCTATTAAGCTACAGAAGGTGATGAAGATCAGTCGAAGTTGTCTCCACTCGTGATCGTTTTTTCATTGCCCTACTTCATCATTTCGTTCTGACACTCTTTTATCGCTGGGAATGACAGAACGGAACGTGAAAGTTAACGACACAAAGAATTATGTAGCGATTCGTCAAATTCAAGTTCAAAAAAACGACGGCTAGTTTTTATCAGTGAAGTATGATCTTTTCAGTGTTACCACTGTCGATCGGTAGCCGAGAGGCGTGCGCAACACCACACACTCCGGCACGTCAAAAGAAGCTGTTGAAAGGCAGTGCGTATGAAAGCTAAAGGTCGTGAGTGTGCTCGAACAGGTTCACACCTTGGTGATCTTGTTTTTATATATCCGAAAAGAACAATTTGCAACTTGGCATCAACAAGCTTCGTGCAACGGGATAGAGATAGTGGCTGGACCTGGATAAGTAGAAGCTTGAAAGCTAGGTATTTCTGGTTTTCTGAAAAAGCTTTGCTTATGTTTTCGAAAGCGAAATTATTATTACCCTGGGCTATGTACAGCTTACAGTGAAAGCATCAGTGCGCTAGGAGTATCAGTCCAAAAATATTCTCAGTTCGCTATGCTACAGTGCTCATTTTCAAACTTCCCTTGGGGATTTTAGTTTTCAATATAGTGAAAGTATCCAAATGAAATTTTTGTAGAAGATAATGAAACAGCACACCGCCCGGTGGTCATTTTGATTTTCCACGATGAAATTTAACTTGTCGCGCAAGTCCTTTAGGTTCCGACACACGGGAATGTAGTGCTCGTACTGGCGAATCTTTCTCAACCGCCAGCACCAGGCCCGTCGAGAAAGTTAGATTCATAGTCTGACCCAGATTCATCTTCATCCCACAACGATGGAGGTAATCTGAACGGGGAAAGTAAAGATAAAGATGCTGGACGATCATCCGACATATCCGAAGGAGACCTAAGCAGGTAAGGCGTTCTGCTCCTTGGCAGCAAGGCCGACAAAGATGTCGCGCCGCTCCCTACATGATCGCCGTTGCCGTTTCGCCTCGAACTCGATGCAATATAAAAATGATCCACATTGTTGTCCCGCGCCATCGAGTAGGTCGGCAACGATCCCAGCACAATGCTGCGACTCGGGGATTGCGGGCGGCTGTGCGTCGGGGATTGCGGGCGGCTGTGTGTCGGGGGTTGCGGGCAGCTGTACGTCGCCAATCGTTCCGGTCGAGTCGTCCTTGATTGTGCGTTCCGGTCCAGTCGTCCTGTCTGCGTCGGGGATTGCGGGCTCGGGGATTGTGGGCTTCTGTGTGTCGCAGCGTCTTCCGCGAATTGTCGGAGGTCTACATGCCGGCGGACGCGATGCAGACGCGGCCCATCGCGACCACCATTCGCATGATTTATAGTCGCGGAGGCTACTTGTTCTGCGTGTGGCGACGATGCTTCTTCGCGGAGGCCGAATGGCGAGACAACTGACATTACTTTTACTGCGAGCGCCGAGTTCACGAGAAGGGCGAACAAGCAGCACTTTCCTCCTGCAAGTTTCGACATTGGTAGCTTGAACTGTGTCCACAGAAAACAACAACTATGGTTCTGCATATGCTGCACACATGTAATCCAAATCAATATTTAGGTAGCTACGCTTGAAGGTGAAGGCGAAAGTGAAAATATACTGGCCCAGTCGCTATTCACACGACGCTTCTGCAAGCGACCGTGGCAGAGGACGTTTTACAACACGGGAGCAGCCGGGGCCAACTATTACGGAATAATACCGTGGCTGCACAGGGTGAGGCTTTCTATTCGATACCAGGGCTATAGAAAAATCGTTTGTGAATGCGGGTCGTTGCTTGTCATACGTAACTATTCCACAAAGAGGCGAGATGCCCGAAGTAGGTGACAATATTCTCAAGACTGCCCTGGGTTTTGATTGAAAGAGAAGCACCGCTCGAAGAATCTAGTTCCGAAATGGATAGGTTAGAGCACCGCAATTCTTTCCAAAAGGCCCACAGTTCGGCGGGGGCTCGCAATTCATGCGTTTTTCTTCCCAAAATGTGCGCGTTCCACTCACCAAACAACTTCAGTTTTTACTTCGTTGCCGATTTGTAAGAGCGGGGTAACATCAACTGCTAACTCGCGCCCGCACGCTAAGCGTTCGGCCGGCCGGCCAATAACAACGAGAGAGCGAGCACCACTGGAGCTGTTTGCACTTAACCAGGAATTCTCTACCGTTCAAGCCGCGAGTTAAATGACTGCCCGGCCGGCCGGCCGGTTAACTCAAGGGCGCGAGTCAGCGGGTCACTTGTTGCCACGCTTTAGTGCTACTTCCGCCCCCGTTTTATTTTTACCCAAATAGCCTAGCTCTAGGTCGAAGCTACTACTTGTAACTAAAGCTGCCCGATCGATTCAGTCCCTTGGTGATTCGGTGGCAAGTGCGAAAATATACAGAGCGCGATTCTGTAGTGCGCGACGCTGAAGAAGCCAATTGGCGGCCCAATAGCCACACGCTTGGCCCAAGCTAAACCCTTTGTGGAAATGGTTTTTTATCTTGGGCCAAATCGTCGCCATCCGGTGAATGTGCGCCGAACCAGGGCAATGCTGTCTATAGATCATGTCATTCCAGATCATGTGCCTTACCAGTGATTTGCATCATAGCGGGCGGAATGCGGATCGATCCTCATTTGCGATTCTGATCTCACCTATACTATACACGAAGATCTTTAAGACCTATTCGAAAATCATATCGGTTATCGAGATCGTTCTTTGTCATGTTGTTTTTTCATTTTTTCTTGACAGAAACAGATTCGACATGGACCAACTGTTTTTTTGTGTTGAACAAAATTGCACAAAAAAGGCTCACGAGATTAAGACCCATTTGATGGAACAACATTTAATACTGACAAACACCAAAGGAAATTATACATTTTCAAAGGATCGGAAAAAGAGATCAATAAAATTTGGAGCGGATCGATCAGTGGGTTTGTAACGCTTGGAGAGGCAGTTCGTACTCAACCATTACGAATCCTTTACACACTCTAGGACTTTTGTGAAATGCTTCGACACAGGACTAGAGCTTCCCTGATCGATGCATACTGATCTATCATAAAAAATTTGCCCCCCGTACGCTGACACATAGGTAGCCGGGATCCTTGCACATAGCACCGCGTGATCAAAAACGTCGCAAGTTTGAAAGTCGACAATACACTACGGAGAAATGATCCTTTTTTTTTCCGTCGTGCGCAATGAAATTTCAATCGGAGAGCAAACCTAGCGGGTCGCGACTGTGATTCTTTATCTGTAGTTCACGAATGTCAATGTGCTGTTTGTTAACACGCGTATTCGTGTGATATGGATACTCCTACTTGTTCTAATGCTCCTAATTCTTCCAATACTTTTCAGACATACCACAAAACTCAGCGTCTACGCTGAATCTTGGCTCCCAGCAAGTACTTCAAGCTGGGGAAATTCATATGTCCGCAGATACACAACCGTCGTCGTGGAAGTAGTGGTATATGAATTTGGATCAAGCTGGTGGCTCAAAACACTGTGCGGGACGGTCCATTCGATTTCAATAAAGCAACCAATAATCATGTAAAAAACGTTCATTGCATTTTGTTTCCACATCGCTTTGCTGTCCTTTGATTTCTCTCACAGCCACGTCGCTGGACTTCTTGCTATGTGTTGCTCATCAATCGATGAAACGAAGGAGATTTTCTTCGGCCTGTATGTAGTTCTTAGAGCGAGCGCAACTCTAAGTCTGAAGGTGCCTTCAGTCCTCGCGGCCCTCGTGCTGCCGGTGCAGGTGGTCCAGTATAACTCCGAGCCTTTTCCGGTTTGCTGCCTCAACCGCGAGTCTGCCAGAGCGGTATTGGCCCAGACTTAGGTTGAAATTGCGAGGAGTCGCAATCATTGCAACGCGCAATCTGGGCTGCTTCGCGCTGTAGTAAACACCGACAGGCAGTTCGTATCTTTTGCCGTTGTCACAATGGACGAAGGAACGAGGGCGGCCGAGCTGTGCTCTTGGCTTGAAGAGGGTTTCGTGCTGGAGATGCAACAGCCTGGAACTTTGCGACCTGCTTTCATCGGCAAACATAAGCGTGTAGCGATAGTGCGACGGAGTGCTGCGTTCTCGGACGGGAGCTATGCGCTCCGAGACTGCCGTGATCATTGCTGTATACCAGGCACTTGCTCCATCGACATGCGGCCACTTCACCCTGATCAAAGTTCCCGCCCGATAGGCCGCTTCCGGGTCGGCGGCCGTTTTTTCGTAGCGCTCGATGACGACCATTATGAACCGTTGAAGACGATGTGTATGACTCTGGGTACTAGACTGATATGTACAAAACAAGCGGCACCTTACGAGGGTCAGACCGATTCGGCGAAAGCTAAGCTCTAAGTCTAACACATCAGCCGTGCAAAACCACACCTCGTAGATTCCTTTCTTCCGCCCTCTAGCTGCTAGTCTAGTGGGAAGTTTTCGTGCCAGTCTGAAGTATGTGCTGATGTCGGTTTATTTCGCATGGTGCGGTCCATGTTGGCTTGGCAACGCTAACTGATGAAACTATTTGAAGCAAAATACGCAGTACCAGCACAGAAAAAATTTCTCTTTTGGACACAAATGGAGACGCGGCTCGACGCAATTACTACAGGCCACGAGGCAACTTGGTTTTTCGCTTTTGTCAACATTTTTGCACAAACCTTCGAATTGGATTGAACCGTCGAAGTAGCAGTAGGTCTCTTCACAACTCTTTCTGGATTCTGTTGACCATGTCCACGACCAGAGCATCGCCCGGCTCGTTTCCAGACGAGGCTGTTGGCTTTTTCACCTCGGGAGCAGCCCCAGCCCCTTTGCGCTTTTTGCCGCTGCCTTTCGCAGCATTCAAGGTCGGAGCGTCCAGCCGAAAATCCGCTGTGATGGGTTATTCCTGGTCGCCGCGGCGGCGTTGTTTGTGCAGGTGATCCAGTATGAAGCCAAGCCTTTTCCGGTTGGCCACATCCACTGCGGCTTTTCCCGTTGGGTACTGTGGTAGAGTTATAGAAGCCCAGCGACTCATCTGAGAAATAGTAGTAGGCGAAACAACTTTCAATCGGGGAGCGGAGTGTACTGTGCAGCGAGATGTTGGCTGAGTGTAAGAGACACCCAAAGGCAGTTCGTGTCTTTTCCCATCACTACAATGAACGAAGGCGCGCAGATTGCAGCGCTTGTCTTGATGTGGTTGGTATCGTATCTTGTGCTTCAGGTGCAGCAACCTAGAGGCCAGCGATCTGCTCCCGTCTGCCCACATCAGCGTGTAGCGATAGTGCGACGGAGTGCTGCGTTTCCGGACCGGACTAATGCGCTCTGACACCCCCGTGATCATTGCTGTGTACCAACCCTTGGTGCCATCTGTATGCGGCCACTTCACCCGAATTATGGTCCCTGCGCGATAGGCGGCCTCGGGGTCGGCGGCCGTTTTTTCGTAGCGTTCGACGACGACCATGATGTCTTCTCTTTATCTCGTGCGGATGGAAATGAGGAACTAAGAAATAACACAAGTATAGTAGAAAGGAGAAAGACGAAGACCAGATGTAATACGATCACGGGGGGCTCAAAGGCCCGCTAATTCGTTCATATCAAAATGACTCTTGTCGCTTCGGAGTTCGCTTGTCGATCAAAAAACCACACTTATGGAGGTTTCCATTCCATTTCACTGGAGTTGCGAATTCATTCAAGGGGGATCTTCTCGTCAAGAACCAAGTACGTTGCAGCACAATTGAAACACAGAAAACGAAGATCGTCACGCTCGGCATCAATCGGTTAATTTGTACTTTCAGCCGGTTCTTTTTGCTCCATTTTTTTTTTTCAGTGTGCGAAAGTAACTAGAAGAAACTAACTATACAAAAAAGATTGCGCATTCGAAAGACAGCACATTTGATCACTTACATCTTATTTTGTCAGCCCACAATGGTGGCCCGCCACCTTTTTTGTATCTCTACCAATGTTGGATCTTCGAACACTCAGAAATTACTCCGAGACTTCGCCAAAGGTTCACGCTGATAGACTCCCAAAAGACTGTGCGTTTTTCATGAAAAATCGAAATGTTCAATTTCGAACTCGTTTCGCGCATGAGAAATTCTTCTTTCTCTTTCTCTGTTCTCGTCGTGAAAAAACATTTCTTGGCTCATCACAAAAAACAAAAACAGAAATTGATTTTTCTTCACGATTCAGTGCGGAGACACTATGCGGTCACGGCACGTTCTCATTTGAGTCCTTTCTCCTTTCTGATGCGAAAAAAGGTTCGTCTGCCGTGCTCTGCATCGTATTTTTCGGCTTTTCGGTTTGCGTCGGATTGTAATTCTGTCCGTAGCATCGGATGTTCGAAACAAACTCCCTTTTTCCAAGAGAGTTTTCTCCGTCCAACCATCCCTTTGCTCCGTCTGAAAATATCCGATTTGTTCGAGAACTTTCAACTTTCTGCTCCTCCACAGTTGGCTCACTTGCCTTGCTTTACAAAAAACATGGCGTAGAGAACAATGGTGGTAGCAAGTATATCTACGAAGCTAGTGGCTAGACAAGGCGAAAGTAAAGGCCTACAAAAAAGGTAACAATTTAATAATGCTGATGACATACTGTTGAAACTTCCAAAGATAGTGCCTGGAGCAGGGTGGTGTGCGAGATCACTTGTCATTTTTAGTTCGTGACAAAGAAAAGGTCGCTCCTAAATACGCCAGAAACTTAGAAGATGAATTTTGCGTCTTTTGCGAGTCCTTATGCTACTCCTTTGTCGTCGTGAAAAGGTGATCTTGATGACTAGGAAAAGAATGACATATAGCGTCGGTGTCCAAAACAACTAAGCTCGCCTCTAATCCCCATCTCAGCAGCACGGCCCCCACGCCCCGGAGTTGGCTTCTCTGGGAACTCTACAGACAAATCAGGGGCCGAACTTGCTTCTGGCGTGGTGATTCCCACAGAGAGTCACCTACCGCAAGTTCGCCCGGGGGAAAAGCACAATACTACTGTCGTGCCCCATTTGCGATCATGAATTTGTATATTGTGCTGATTGTACGTGAATTTGCCATGCTATTTTCGTAAAGTTAGATCTTTGTCTTTTATAGGCTGGCATGGTACGGTAAAACAAAAATTGCACACGTTCTTTTCTTTTATTTCAAAAGAATTCGGCACCGACAAGCTTTATACAACGGGATAGAGAAGATAGTGGCTGGATAAAAAGAAGCTTGAAAGCTTTGCATTCCTGGTTTTCTGAAAAAGCTTTGTTTTCGAAAGCGAATGTATTACCCTGGGCTATGTACAGCTTAGAGTGAAAGTATCAACATGAAATTTTTGTAGAACAAGATAATAAAACACACCGCCCAGTGGTCATTTTCCACGAAGAAATTTAACTTGTCGTAGAAGTCCCTTAGGTCCCGACGCACGGGAATGTAGTGCTCGCACTGGCGAATCTTTCTCAACCGCCAGCACCAGGCCCGTCGAGAAAGTCAGAGTCATCTTCAAGCCCAAACGCTGCAGGTAATTTGAACGGGGGAAGTAGAGATAGAGACGCTGGCTCATCTGGCAGTACAAGGATACTACGAAGCGGCCTCCGTTTCGACTCTTCAGGAGGAGGCCTAGGCGAGGAAGGTGTTCTGCTCATCGTCAGCAAGGCCGACGAAGATGCCGCGCCACTCCCTACACGGTCGTCGTTGCTGTTTCGCCTCGAACTCGATCCACTTCCAAAAATATAAAAGTAATCACAACTCGCAGACGAGCACGAGGGCGCTGGGTCCGCCCTGTTGCGGGGCATGTGGGATCTTTGTTTTTCAAAGTCGTTATCCCCATTTTTGCCCCGCGCCGTCGGGTGGATCGGCAACAGTCCCAGCATCATGTTGCTGCGACTCGGGGATTGCGGGCGGCTGCGCGTCGGGGATTGCGGGCGGCTGTGCTTCGCCTCTCGTTCCGGTCCAGTCGTCCTTGATTGTGCGTTCCGGTCCAGTCGCCCTGCCTGCGTCTGGGATTGCGGGCTGCTGTGCGCCGCAGCGTTTTCAGCGAATTGTCGGAGGTCTAGGTGCCCGCGGACGCGATGCAGATGCACCTCACCATGACCACCATTCGCATGATTGATAGTCGAGGAGGCTACTTCTGCGTGTGGCGACGATGCTTCTTGGCGGAGGCCGGACGCGACAACTGCCGTTGCTGCGAACGCCGAGTTCACGAGAAGGGCGAACAAGCAGCACTTTCCTCTTGCAAGTTTTGACATTGGTAGCTTGAACTGTGTCCACAGAAAACAACAACTATGCTTCTGCTGCGAACATGTACTTAATCTAAATCAATATATAGTTCCCGCCCGATAGGCCGCTTCTCGGTCGGCGCTTGTTTTTTCGTAGCGCTCGATGACGACCATGTTATGTTACCAGTATCTCGTGCAGATGGAGCAAAAAATGAGAATAGTACACGCAAAGACCGGATGCAATACGATCAAGGGAAACTAAATTCAAGTTCAAGACTCGCTAACTCGTTCACATGCAAATAATTCTTGTCGCAGTCGCTTCGGAGGCCGCTTATCGATAAAAAGAAACCACAATTCTGGTGCCCATTCCTTTTCACTGGAGATGCTAGAATTCAAAGGGGATCTCAAGAGCTAAGCACGTCGTTGCTCTAACTCAAAGACAGAAGACGAAGTTCACGCTTGGAATCAATTAGTGAAGTTCTTCCATTACCAGCGCAACCGGTTCTTCTTTCTGCATTTTTTTTCAGCGTGCGAAACCATGTAGCGAGAAGAGATTAACAAGAAAGATTGCGCATTCGAAAGACAGCACAAACATCTGATCATTTACATTTTATTTTGTCAGCCCACATCAGTGTTGGTCGTGGTCCACCACCTTTTTTGTATCTAAGCGGTCACGCCAAATTCTCATTTGAATCCGGCATCGCATTCTCCGGCTTTTCCGTTTGCATCTCTGAACTCTGACTCATCCCCTACTGCTTCGTCAAAAAAATACTTCTTCTACCAACATTGTCTTCCGACACAACCGATTCGGCTAGTCCTGTGCATCTTCCTTGTAGATTAAGCCTCTTTATTTGCTTCTGTATCGATGTCTAGTATAAGTATATATTTGTCGATTGACAAAGTCACTTTGGATTCGGCGCTGGCACCCTAGACGGGTTGTGTCCGATTCTACAACTTTTACAAATCGCTGTACTTGAATCCGCAGCAAAACTATGACCCAGCTTCTTGACTAAATGATCGCATTGACTGCAATTGGCGATTCTTGTTGAAACAAATTTGTATTATATCAACGCGGAAATAACTCGAACCGTCCATAATCACGCTGAGCTGTTCTAGCAAACAGAATCTCATCAAGATCCAAAAAAGCCACTTGCGACGTACCTTGGCTTTTGTAGACCTGCAAAGTGGCCCTGGTCGTCCATCTTAATATTGAAATTGAAAAAAAGCAGCTCGCAATAAATATTACATGTCTACTTCTACTTCGATCCACATCCACGAAAGAAGACTCTTGGGTGAGTCTTTTGATCCAATGCCTTGGACCAAGCATAATTTACTCAAGAAATCTAGTAGCGTAGTTGTTGGCACAGGTGGCACATGTTGTTGATGTCGAAACAGAAACTGCATAAAGAACTTGAGAATAAAAACAACAAAATGTTAGTGTTACGTATATTATAATACATCACCCGTGACCACGATCAGCGCAAGTGCATAGGTGAAAACTCGTCGAATTCTACGGGCGCAAACACCGGTATGGGAGAGTCAGGACGGAATTCGACAAAGTTCTTATAAATAGTTTGTCATGCACAAAATGCAAGGTATGAAGTGCCAATCTTGCAGGGATGGCAAGTGAGGCTATGCTTGTAAGCCTATCTCAGGTCTGAGATAGAGCTTCTAAAAAGGCACGACAAGAAAAGCAGTCCTCTGTGCCAAAACAGCATGAACCCATCAAACTGGATGTAGGTGCTACCGAAGTTTGTCATGCGCCGCTTAGAATAATTGGCTTTCCAAGTAGAACTGGTATCCGTTATATATGCATCACAAATTTTTATTTCAACTTCGTCGATTTCGAAATCCTGACGCATTCATAACCGGTCTCTCCTTCTTCTTCCCTCCCTATGAAAGCCTCAGGTTGGAAATCCTCAAAGTGGAAATCATTACTATTCAAACTGCAGCAAACCAGAACTTTTGAAGCTTTTGGGTGTGTTCTGGGGTATGCAAAGTGGCTGCGTAGCATCGTGATTTGCAATTTGCAACACACACCCCGGACACACCCCAGACACACCCCCGACACACCCCCGACACACCCCCCCCGTCACACCCCAGGCAGACCCCCGTCTCGCACCCCCGGAA